AGGGTAGTGCCAAATGGAAGCTTGTAGTCTCTGCCTATCTCTGGGTGACAAGCGTGAGTGTTTATGTATTATGTATTATGTATGAGTCTCAGCTGAAAAGAGTCTCGGATTGCACCCACACACACCGCCTGCGACTTTACAAGGCATAGGTTCGGCCGCACATGGAATACTGTTACCATCTCTGGGCTGGGGCTACCCAGTACCAGCTCCTTCCACTTGACCGCATTCTGCGCAGAACGGCTCGAATCGTCGACGACCGAGTGCTTTCCGATCGGCTCGAGTCACTGGCACTGCGAAGAGATGTTGCATCTCTTTGCATTTTATTTCGCATATACCATGGAGAGTGCTATGAGGAATTGTTCGGATTAATCCCAGCCGCCAAATTTCGTGAACGCACTACGCGGCAAACGTCCCGATACCATCCACACCATCTGGATGCTTGGCGATCCACCACAGTACGTTTCAAAAGGAGTTTTCTACCGCGTACAACCTCTCTGTGGAATAGTTTACCACCGGCGATTTTTCCGGACCGATACGACATGGGGACCTTCAAGAAAAGAGCTTACTCCTTTCTAAAGGGCCGGCAACGCACCTGCAATTCCTCTGGTGTTGCGGTTGATCATGGGCGGCGGTAGTCACTTAACATCAGGTGAGCCGCATGCTCGTTTGCCCCCTCTTCTATAAAAAAAAAACCTTCAAACTGAACAATAAACCACTGGTATTCATAAAACACTCAAGATCATGAAACTTTGCATACTAACTGAACTAACTATAGAGCAGGGCTTATGTTTTTTATTGCTTTTAAATTACTATTATATTCATTGTAAAAAGAAATTACCTAAACTATCAGCGTCTTGAAGCTTGTTCCCTGCTACCCGATCATTACACAGTACACATTACGTAACAGGACGACGTAAAATTATAATGGGAAATAACCGTCATAAAAATAAGAAGCGACTGAGTTGGCATAAAGAAACTGGCATAAATATGATAAACCTAATGAAATAAGTATCTAACGATCTACAACTTACAGTATTAGTGATTACAAACATGTCGGTAGATAGCATACGACTCGCGGGGAAATGAGCGCAAAATTAGAATTTGAGCTGAGGTAGTATAGGCCCTTAATACCACAGTATTTTCTACGAGTCTATATTCAGGTATATAAAAAAATCTAAATAAAGTGTAAATTTTTTAAAAATAATTAAGACAATAATAGAGTACCGACTAGATGTAGAAAATATAACAAAACATTTACAACATAAACATACGCTTAAAACACAGTAATGCATATTAAGTTATCGGGTATGAAGTAATCATATCCAGTTTACATAAGAAAGGAAATTTTGCCAACCCGCCTGCCAATTGTGGTAACTACGGCAAATATCCCCCCAGTATACATAGTAGAGCCAAGCTTCAACTGTATTGTATTTGTATCACGAATGGGTCGACTGGGGAAGGACCACGCTGTCACAGAATACCAGCGTAAAATAGCAGCTTAATGCTGCAGTGTTTCGTATGGTGAGTGTAGAGAACCGGAGACCCTTAAAAGACTGTAATGAGTGAATGAACGCTAATCATATAAACATAATGGTAGTGCCAACTTTATGGAGAAATTTTCTATATTGCAGTCTTCTGCGAAAGTAACCTATGGAAAACAGTAACTTAGCACCTGTGTTTTATAATTAATTCTAAATTTTAGTACAATAATTAGATTCCACCGACATTTAAATGCTTAAACAGACGTCGCAAGGCTCGTTTATCAAAAAACTAATAATAATCCAGTCAAACGAAACATACGGACCATCGTAGCGGTAAAAAAAATTCGAGTTTTTTCAACCTTTCATACCAAACATTTTTTAATTTAAGCTGGTTCAATAGACTCCCCCCGCCCAAAGGGCGACCCTCTTTACAAAGTGCGTCTGAAGTTCAGGTGCAATATGGAGTGGAAAGTGTGAGCGATCGATGCAAGGACTCCTTGGTCCTGAGGCTGCACAGTGTATATAGGAAGCGCGGAAGGCGCCCGCTTTGACACCTTCTAAGACATCGCGCTTAACAGCGATCGAAATTTTAAAAATGAAAGATCGGTTTAAAATCAGTGCCTTTAGGTAGTATCTTAATCCGTGTGTAGTGTTTTTTTTTAATTAAAGTTTAATATTTGAAACAATACAGATGCAAATTTTGGAATTTGGAGTAAGATTTATTATACTATTATACAACATACACGATTTTCATACACACTTTCTCGGATAAACTAACAAAATATATTTAACTTACTTTTATGGAACATTACTTAAATTGGTAAAAATGTGTTGTTTTGAAAAACAAAATCTTTCGCAGTAACTAATGGTAATAATATATAAACGGTGACATCATGATGATTTTAGTTTTACTATCGAAGCTTTTATTATTTACCCTATCTTGCATAACCCTAGCATTTCATGCAAGCCCCAATTTAGAAGCATTTGCTATAATCAAAGCGCGTGTGATAAGCACGACTGGGACCTGCCAGACCTTTATCAGCGAGGGGACGATCCTTGCTTAGACTTTGTAACTGCGAGTTCAATCGTTTAATGAAAATATTTGTTACTCTAAGTTGATATTCAAGGGAGGAATGTAAGAATTATAAACTAAGTCACTGCTTTTTACGCAAAGTTCAAAATTTTTGATAAAACTATAAAATGTAGGTAGAACTATAAGTCGCATTATGTGAATACTTTAAATTAAAAACTTAACTAATTCCTAAATTACTCTAACCGTTTACAAAAAAGGACAGCGAAAATTTTTACAACTTTTATAGGCTCGTGTTTATTGTAAACTCGTAAGTTATACCAAAAATAAGAGTTTAAAAAAAATTGCACAACACGAAATAATCATGACATGTGATAATTAATTTATTTTATCCTGGTAATCCTGATCATGATACTAGGATAAAGTTATTAATCTGTTAATTGTTTTGTCGTCGGTCGCTGATACGAGTGCAAATTTTCAAGTCAATCGTCCGTCTACAATTTGTTGAAAATTACATTAAAATATTCCGTTACATTAGATAGATTGATACACGCGAAGTTAACAGAAGCGTGTTAAAAACAAGTTTTACTTGCATAATATATAGAAATTATTTTATAATTTTTTTTATTATTTTATCTTTAGGAGTGGCCAAGGAATATACGCTCAATATAACAAAAAGAATATCCTCTAAATAGTTGGTACATAAAAAAATCATCTTTTATATCATTTTATTCATTTCATTTTCCACTCTTGGGGTTAGAATTTTATTTCCAAACCTCGTCGTCATAATTTGCTTATACAGCAATAGTGTATTGGCGCAATTACAGATATAAATAACAAATATAAAATATATCAAAAAAATTAAAGATATAAAAAATAATATAGTAGGACACTTATCGTTTAAACAAAACATTATGAGGTATGTTAAAATTAATAACGTTTCTCGGAACGGTAAAAAAGTCGTAAATTGAGACAAAATTCAATATTGTGAAAATCTGATGTTATAGCAACTTTAAATATTATCTGACCACTTTTTTTTAATAACTATTGTACTTTAATGTTATTGTAACATTGTTTAATAACTTCGTTATAAAGCACATATTGCATTACTGTGATACGGTTTTTTTTTACTAAATACATCGTCATGATTAACCAGTGTCATTGTAACAAGAAATACTTATACGTTTTAATTTGATTCGTTTATTTATGTGTACTATGTTTCGTCTTTAATAGAACGTTTAATAACTTTGTAAAAATGTTGAAATAAGTCAAAAGTAACTTTCGACGGCTCTGTAGTGGCTTAGTATTGAGATGTAGTGCTGAGGGCCGCGAGTTCGAATCCCTCATGGAATTAGTATTGTTTTGTATGTTTGTCCTTGTGCAATTTATTTATTTATTCAATTTTTAAGCCCAACCAGAGTTAGTTACAATAGTACGTGATAAACTTAATTTTTAAATGTAAAACCTATATAAGGCAGCCACAACATGCTTCATAAGTAGAGTAAAATTTGATCACATCAATTACAAAATATTAGAAACATAACCTAAAAAATTAAAAACTAAGAACTACCAAAAATAAGAAAGGGAAAAATGATAATAACCAATTAAATTAAATAACAAAATTAACAATTTATACTATCATATTCTTAATTATTATTTCTTAAATTATGTAGCACTGCTTTTTTAAAAGAAGAAGTAATTGTTAAAAATGCCCACAAAACCCAACATCAACTTCAGCAAACGTGATATTCTAGCTAAAATATTATAATATAATTTATGTATGTTAACTGCCTCCACAATATATAGGAGAAAAATTTAATGATCGATAACGTTTTTAAAAAGAGGAAATATCTTTCACTATTATTAAAACTAATTTTATATATTTATATCGCGTTTTAAATATGTTTGATATTTAAAAATTTTAATTTTATTTATGTTGGTACAAAAAAATGACTTTTATACGGTATTCCAGTATTTAATTAAATATCCAAGATGCATAAGTCTTTGTACAATTCACCCTCTGTACAATTGTTGTCCCAAGATGCATAAGCCTTCAGTAACCCTCTGTACAACTTAGACCCTTTTTAATGGAAAATATGCAATACCATCACCGTCCTTTTCCTTTCCGAGATTCGCGAGGTCGTTGAACCTCCCCTTTGTCAAATTTGGGCAATTAAGCATAGGGTGTTTTGGCTACGTGTTACGGAATGAAAACCGGCGGAACTAGGGAGCCGTTCTCGCTTTCTGGGGTGAATGCACTACGGGGGCGGCCACCCTTACGCGACTTTAGGGAGGCTCCGACCGCATAGAAGATACTCTTGTAGACTCACGACATAAAGTACAATAAAAATCGTGTAAGGTATAAAGGTACATTTAAAATGTAAATTTACAAAACCAGAAAACGTGTCAAAACTAATGCGTTCAATATTAGTTTTATCATAAAGAATTACATTTTATTTAAAATATTATATGTATATTAACTTTAACAGGATGGTACCGTGAACATGGATAAGATGACGGAAGCCCAAAAGACAGCCTATTTGGAGGCGCATGTGGCCGTACAACAACATATGGCACAAGCTGCTGCTGCTGCCCGTCGTGAACAACAACAACAACAACAACAGCAACAACAGCAGCAGCAACAACAGCAGCAGCAACAACAACAGCAGCAGCAGCAGCAACAACAACAACAGCAACAGCAGCAGGCGCAACAGCAGCAACAACAGCAACAACAGCAGCAGCAGCAGCAGCAGCAGCAACAGCAACAACAACAGCAACAACAGCAACATCAACAGCATCAACAACAACAAAATAATGCTTCGAACAATACACGTCATCACCAAGAAATGCAAGTAAGTGTAACATTATAGACCTATTTTAACCAACTAAAACGAGGTTGTTATCAATTCGACCTCAATATTTTATTTTTAATGTATATAACAAGATATCTCCGAGATTAGTGCTCCCAATTTAGCAAATTTTTATTTATCGACAGATTATAACTTTACTGTGGTTCCATATCAGATCCGATAAAATATGTCTTAAACAATAATTGCGCCAGTATCGCGTCATGTTAACGATTTTCGAAAAAGCTTACAAAATTGGGAAAAAATGAAAAAAGTACTTTGCAATTTTTGGAACAGTAATAATAAAACTTACTATGTGAAATGAAACGAAGTGAAATACGTAAAATAAGTTATTCAATTGTGAATAATGCAAATCTTTAAAAAAAACAATCGAATGCACTTATGTAGGCCATCCAATGTTTTTCGATTCTGCTGAGAATCTGAATCAAGATTGTTAAGAATTTTGAGTGTTTTTTAAATATTTTTCTGAACGACCGTTATAATTAATAAATATTGAAGAGCAGGGAAAAATCGCTTGAACATTTCCTATCACATTAAGCTCCTATACCGTGACGACTCTACATTAGTTTCATCTTTATATTTATAATATAATTGTGCGTCTATAAGTAATTGTGTGACTTCTGAACGACTTCGCTGATTAAATAACATATTTATTTATACAAATATGTAGATTGTGAATTCCATAGAATATACAATGTAAAACAGCAGCTGCTGTGTTTCGTACTGAGTGTGGAGAACCGGAGACCTTTTTACTGGAAACGAAGCGTTCTATCTTAGTCCTTACGGGTAACAAAGCATCTGAATTTTGATTCGTAATCGGGGATAAATGTAGATGTCTGCGGGCCCCAGTGACTTATGAACAGTGTAATGATGATAACGATGAACTATGAGCTATCTAGAACATCAATACATGTTTGCGATTTAATTTATTGTTTAATATTATTATTTTTTACAGCAAGCTCAAAATCCTAGTAGTGCTCACCAAGGTCATCCATCCCCACCAACTGTGACATCGACACAGCACTATGCGAGCATGAACTCCCCAATTAAGGTGCCCGTGGTGAGCTCCAGCACGGGTGGGCCAGATAGCACCTTCACAGTGCCTGATGACGTCGGTATGGGTTTTGAGGGCGGTGTGCGTGTGTTGCAGAGTCTTGGCAATTGGTAAGATAAAAATTAAATGACTTAAAACATAAATACTGTAAAAATTTTTGTGAAAAACCTTAAAACAGCTTTAACTCTTTGCGTATTGTTTGCCTCTACTAATTTTTTTATCCTTATTTCATCAATTCATATAATTACACCATTATACATACTTACTATTCCATCAAAAGTCTACTACTCATATAATTACATCACTATACATACTTACTATCCCATCGAAACTCTACTACTCATATAATTACATCATTATACATACTTACTATCCCATCAAAAGTCTACTACTCATATAATTACATCACTATACATACTTACTATCCCATCGAAACCTACTACCAATAATTACACCATTATACATACTTACTATCCCATCAAAAGTCTACTACTCATATAATTACATCACTATACATACTTACTATCCCATCGAACTCTACTACTCATATAATTACATCATTATACATACTTACTATCCCATCAAAAGTCTACTACTCATATAATTACATCATTATACATACTTACTATCTCATCAAAAGTCTACTACTCAACAAACGCCTCTCCTTAGATTGGCCTATAGTCGGGTTGGCAATCGCATTTTCTTTTCTTTTAAACCGTTATCAGGAAGACTCTGCTGCCTGTCCCTTGTTTTGGTTTACTTCTGTTGCCTTTTAAGATACACACGGAGTGATATCTAGTGGGTTTATATTTGAGCATTGTCCCTCGGGTGTCGTGAGAGGTGACAGAGAAAAACAAATCAGAAGGCAGCAGCGTCTTCCTTATAACATCTAGAAAATAAAAGCTGTGATTGCCCATCCGACTGTCATACGTGGAGAGAGAAATCTATTGGGAGACATGTTCAGCAGTGAACTTTGTTAGGCTGTAAATGATATATGAAAAATGAATTATTTACAAAACCATGTACACGAGACCGAAACATTCTAATCGAAGACCTTACTAGGGCCCGGTATACATTTCGAGAAGTGACAATTACGAGTACAAGTGGCAAGTGCGAGTGGCAAGAACAACTGACAAATAACAAGTGCTTAGTGCGTGTGAACAGGCATTGATAAGTGATAAGTGTGAATAAAATACGCACTAAGCAGTTGTCACATGTCTTTTGCACTTGCCACTCGCACTTGTAACTTGTCAAAATGTAAACTGGGCCTTAAGCAAAAAAATAACAATTATGCAACAGGACATTGATCAGAATTGAGTGTTGCACAGTAACTTCTCATAATAGCCGAAATGAACAATTTTCTGTATTACATCTTGTTTATCGCTAGAATCCTGGTAGAGCCATGCTGCATCTATATTACTGGTGTAGTTGTAGCACGGAAGGGTCGGCTCGACCGGGGAAAGATAACACACTCACAGAATACCAGCGTCAAATAACAGCTTAACGCTGCTTTTTACTGGAAGCGAGGCATTTCATCTTAGTCCTCACGGGTGACACGCATCTGCATTTTGATTCGTTATCGTGGATAGACGTAGATGTCTATGGGTCACAGTAACCACTTACCATCAGGTGGACTGTGTGTTCGTTTGCCACCCTTATACTATTAAAAAAAATCAATACGGAAGCAGAAATTCTTTTTGAAATTATAGTAGTTATAAAATATTAGTTATAAAAGCGACAGTAGCCTAATGGCAGGGCGCGGACCGCGAACAAGAATAATAAGCGACAGTAGCCTAATGGCAGGGCGCGGACCGCGAACAAGAATAATAAGCAACAGTAGCCTAATGGCAGGGCGCGGACCGCGAACAAGAATAATAAGCGACAGTAGCCTAAGGGCAGGGCGCGGACCGCGAACAAGAATAATAAGCAACAGTAGCCTAATGGCAGGGCGCGGACCGCGAACAAGAATAATAAGCGACAGTAGCCTAATGGCAGGGCGCGGACCGCGAACAAGAATAATAAGCGACACTAGCCTAATGGCAGGGCGCGGACCGCGAACAAGAATAATAAGCGACACTAGCCTAATGGCAGGGCGCGGACCGCGAACAAGAATAATAAGCGACACTAGCCTAATGGCAGGGCGCGGACCGCGAACAAGAATAATAAGCAACAGTAGCCTAATGGCAGGGCGCGGACCGCGAACAAGAATAATAAGCGACAGTAGCCTAATGGCAGGGCGCGGACCGCGAACAAGAATAATAAGCGACACTAGCCTAATGGCAGGGCGCGGACCGCGAACAAGAATAATAAGCGACACTAGCCTAATGGCAGGGCGCGGACCGCGAACAAGAATAATAAGCGACACTAGCCTAATGGCAGGGCGCGGACCGCGAACAAGAATAATAAGCGACAGTAGCCTAATGGCAGGGCGCGGACCGCGAACAAGAATAATAAGAGACAGTAGCCTAATGGCAGGGCGCGGACCGCGAACAAGAATAATAAGCGACAGTAGCCTAATGGCAGGGCACGGACCGCGAACAAGAATAATAAGCGACAGTAGCCAAATGGCAGGGCACGGACCGCGAACAAGAATAATAAGCGACAGTAGCCTAATGGCAGGGCACGGACCGCGAACAAGAATAATAAGTGACAGTAGCCTAATGGCAGGGCGCGGACCGCGAAGAAGAATAATAAGCGACAGTAGCCTAATGGCAGGGCGCGGACCGCGAACAAGAATAATAAGCGACAGTAGCCTAATGGCAGGGCACGGACCGCGAACAAGAATAATAAGCGACAGTAGCCTAATGGCAGGGCGCGGACCGCGAACAAGAATAATAAGCGACAGTAGCCTCATGGCAGGGCGCGGACCGCGAACAAGAATAATAAGCGACAGTAGCTTAATGGCAGGGCACGGACCGCGTACAAGAATAATAAGCGACAGTAGCCTAATGGCAGGGCGCGGACCGCGAACTCTAAAAGGTCGTGGGTTCGAATCCGCCATTCGACTACTGGTGTGAACCACTCGTAACACAAGCAATTTAAGCTTACCACGACTGGTTAAGGGGAATATTAGTAATGTTTATAGCATTGTTAATATTCTTTTCTTAAAAAATTAATTCTTAAAGTGATTAAAAATTCTACTGGATTTATGCTGGTTCTTCCCTGGGAAAAAATCTCAACCAATGGTCAAAGTAAAACAGACTTACAATAGGGTACGCTAGTACCTAATATATAAGTCAATGCAATAAGGTGGTTTGAAATTGAATAAAATAAGGTTTATTCAATGATGAAAAATTCAAATCTTTAAAAAAAAACAATCAAATGCATATTTACTATTGTTATATTATTACAGACAAGTAGCTCAGGGACTAAGAGTTAGCTGTAAATATCGCAGAGCGCAAGCAACCCCGGTTCGATTCGATAAATTTGTTAATAGAATTTTTTAATACTGATTTACCACGTGCTCGACTACGAAGGAAAATATCTTAAGGAAACCCACGTATCTGAGAAACTAAAGAAAATTGCTTTGAAGAAATGTGTTGTACGCTATCACGCATTGAGTCAGCGCGGCGCTCATTTCCTTGCCATAAAACCCTCTCATAAATGATGGGACATATACGTAACTAACAATATTAATCCATTCTTATAACTATACCTAGTGACCCGATGACGCTGCTATGGTCAAATAATTATATACAATTAAATCGTTATTAACGTAACGAATTGAGACGACTAATAGGTAAATAATATTCCAATTAAAAATATACGGCTTTCAACAGGTCACCGGAAGTTACGAATACCATTCCGAGGCCAAACCTAATACCATTCACTGAGCCGTATGCCGAAGGCGGTTCTATGCATCCTGGCACACGACTAAAAGCACTACAGAGCAGCGCAGTCAGAAAACATCCCGCCATTAAGCCCACGAGCTCTACAAACGAAGGTTAGTATAATTATATTAATAAGTTTATTAAAGTACATGCAAGAAAAAGAAGTTTTAGGGGAATATGTAAACTTTTTTCCAAATGTCAACCGCAATAAACCTAAAAAGCGTTGCACTCTGCTATGGGGAGACCCTAGTGATGAAATCTTGACAAATGCTAAAAATCCATACAACTCAAAATCATCTGGCTGATGATGATGGCAGCAGTCTGTTCTGTGTTTGCCTATCCACCTGTCCAGTGTAAAATATGGGTTTCTGAACAGACTACGTCCAGGAATGTATTTAAAACTGGTACTGACGGTAATTTTATAATTTTTCTTTCCTATATTTTTATGTCGAAGCTTAATAGACAAAACTGTTATAAAGGTCTTCTTGTAGTGTGCAGGACGTTACTTTGCTCCTCACACTGAATTAAAAAAAAAACTACGATGTCCGACCTCAAGGAGTATATAAAAATCACTAGGCAGGTACTTGACTTGGGGACAACTGTTAGATTTAGTTATTTTTTGTTTTTGTTTTGTGAAATGAGTTCTCAACCACGACATTAAAAATTTTCATTTGATAAAAGCGTTAACATCTCTTTTATATTTATGTGAACGACTACACATTGAATAAAACTATTTATAGCACTACTATATATAGCACTACTATATATAGGTTGTAGAACGAATGGGTCGGCTCGACCAGGGAAGAACCACGCTCTCACAGAATACAAGCGTATTGTATTCCGTATGGTGAGTGTAAAGAACCGGAGACCCTTTTTACTGGAATCGAGGCATTCCATCTTAGTTCTCAGGGGTGACAACGCATTTGCATTTTGATTCTTAATCGAGGTTAAATGTAGATGTCTATGGGCTAAAGCATCCAATTACCATCAGATGGACTGTGTGCTCGTTTGTCATCCTTATTCTATAAAAAAATACAGATTTTATCGCGTTTAATTTTACTTGTATGTTATTCCCGAAAATTTGATTAAGCCATTTATTACGATACACGTAGTTCTGTCATTATTCAACACTTGTCTTGAGAATTAACAGAGGTGGTAAAAAATAAAAAGTAATGCAACGTCGCCTTAATGATACAGAGGATCTATGTTAAGCACTAATTCAATGTACAATATTCCAGGAAGCAAAGCTTTTGAGTGTACCGTTTGTGGAAAGGGATTAGCAAGGAAAGACAAGCTGACGATACACATGAGAATTCACACAGGTAACTATTTTCTTATTACGAATATTAATATTAATAATACATAATATTTTTATATAGTCGCGGTTTGGCCAAAACTGCGGCATTCACACAGTGACACTTCCGCATTTTTGAAAGATCATAAACTTTTATTTTTAGGAGAAAAACCTTACGTGTGCGAAGTGTGTAACAAGGCTTTCGCTCGTCGAGACAAGCTAGTCTTGCACATGAACAAGTTGAAGCACATTACACCATCGAACATAGCACCACTGGGAAAGCGTTCCATATCAATACCACGTAAGTGTCACGTCACAAAATTATTTGCATATACTTATCATTTTAATAGATAGAGTGATATATTTTAAATACAATTTCATGACTAAAATCATTTTGCAATTAAAAAAAATATTCACATGTAATAACGCAAATAATGCTATTCTGACACACGCTCACTTACACTTATATTAAACATCTGATGTATTAGGATTTTGTTTTGTTTCCCAAGTAATAAATAAAAACAGGCAAACTGAACCTAAACGTTAAGTTGGAGAGGTCACGTCTATTGTAGTCAACGCTCCGTCAGTCCCCAGATTTGACATAATACAGGCAACTGAACAGACAGATCTTCAAATGCATGCGGCAGGTTTTATGTAACTTCAATACTCCAGCTCTTCAGCACTTTGAAAACGGCAAGTCCCCGGGCGAGGATGGAATTACAACGGAGTTTCTGAAAGAGGGTGGATAACCGGTACTTGAATAGCTATATAGCTTTTTAATTTCGTCCTCTATGGGGTCACTACTCCGGAGGCTGAATCAGAAGTAGACATGCGGTGGTCTTGTTCTTCAAGAAAGGCGACAACGCTCTCTTGAAGAACTACAGACCGATTTCCCTTCCGAGCTGCGTATGCGTGCTGTTTTCGAGTCATTACGATCGTCTCGCACGCAAACTCGACGACCATTAAGCCTCCTGAACAATCCGGTTTCCGAAAAGGCTTTAGCACCATAAACCACATACATACCCTTCGCCAAATTGTACAGAGGTCCGAAGAGTATAATCTGCCACTTTGTCTTGCGTATGTGGACCATGAGAAAGCTTTTCTGTTGACTGTCGGTATATCGAAGTGCTGAAGTGTTTGTACAGTAGGACTACGATGGTTATCCGAGTACAGAACCAGATTACGAAACCTATCCAACTGCAGAGAGGTGTAAGACAGGGTGACGATCCACGAAATTCTACACCGCTGCATTGGAAGACGTTTTCAAATTTCTGGACTGGAAAGGATACGGTATTAACATCAATGGCGAGTACATCACTCATCTTCTCTCTTCGTTTTGCTGACGATATAGTCCTTATGGCAGAATCACTGGAGGACCTAAGTAAGCACTATGCACAATAACCTCAATAGTGCTTCCCTATGGATAGGTCTTAAGATGAAATGAGCAAAACAAAGACCATGTGTAGCGTCGATGCACCTATGCCGGTAGTTGTTGGGAAAATTAAGCTTGAAGTTGTTAGTACAAGTATGTTTGCTTAAGACAAATAGTCTGACTAGGTAAGTCCATCTTCGACCGATAGGTCAATCGACGGACTCAACTCGGCTGGATAGCGTACGGGAAATAACGACACACCTCCTCGTCAAGTATACGAGATTGTACAACCAGTGCGTGTGACCAGTGATGCTAAAGTGACGAAATATAGGTACAGCAGTAATGACATGATTTTGCATAAAATTTACAAAACCATTACTACCATTTTTAATACCAATTTTAATACCATTACTTTGTAATTTTTTAAAACGTTTGTATACTACGTAAACGTTTGTATACTATTTTATGGAATGCCTCGAGTAGTGTATGAAAAATCATTAGAATCATTTCCTTATACATATTTCTAATTCTTATATAGTTCGTTTCTTTCAAACGACTTCAAAAAAAGAAGGAGCGTCTCAATTCCTCGGAATATATTTTTATGTATTTTCAGCGATGATTATTTACCACTTTGTCCAAAAGTCCGAAACTTGTTAGAAAGGAGATAGCACGGGGGTGATAACTATCTTAAAAATTGGTCAAGATCTGGTATTTAGATCCATGATAAAATCATTAAACCGTGAAATTTACAAGGGCATTTGCACGACATAATATGAGCAAATAGTTCTTTACTGCCCTAACCGATTTTGATGATTACATTCTTTTAATTTTATGAAACATGTCTTTACTTCGTTAAAAGTTTTACTTTTATAAACATGAAATAAACCCCTCAAGTGTAACTAAAATAAATTATTTTCATACACTTTATTGTAATGTATGGGCATATCTAGATACACGCCTTGTCATTTCATGAAATAATATTTATATTAAATTGAAATACGCGTTTTTTTTTAGATAATATGAACAATGAAGTTTGGATGCAGCATTTAAATTTAATTTATGGTTAATTCATACTTCTTGATGCTATCATGTATCCTTCTTCCGAATTTACTTGCATTTCTATATTTCACATTGTTTATGCCCCAAATTTAAAACACGAATTAATATCCAATCAATATCTTATCTCATATCAGCATCTTTTTCTAGATAGCAATCCTTATTGAGCTCTTAAGGATTCTAAGATAGTGCATATGCATAACACATTTATAGTGCTTAATATGTTTTTTATGTGCGAGCAGCTATGCAGCTAGGGAAGGAGACCAGTATCACTGCGACCTAAAAGATCTATTGTGATCGCTGCTATGGCTATAGTTCACTGCTAAGCCCTATGTCTTCAATGAAGAAGGAGTTACCTAGCCGTAAGCAATTTCACTTCTTCTGGGCGGAGTTCTTAGTCTCCCAGATGAGCATTAAGTTTGCGCATTAAGGGTCCGCAGTCAGTTAGGATGTGCCTCTGCACAGGCGTTTCTTTCGTTATGGAACAGAACTGCTTAATATGTGAGTTATAATTCAAGATGGAAACTGCACGGAAAAAACAAAGAGTGCTAAGAGATATACATTCTTCTATGTATTCTTTTGGGGAAAAACCCACATTCTTCAGAATATACTGATATTTTTATAAAATATTATGTGCGGCAAACCTTACCTTTTTTAATTTGGTGTTAGTCTAAATGTTTATTTTAAAATAAAATAAAATTTATCCCATAATAAAAATAACATTATCGTGTTTGTACATATTCCATATTTTATACAATGTACCTTTGTATTTATTTTCAACAGCTTTAAAACTAGACGATGTTAAGCCGCAATTACCAAAGCAAGAGGATACAAAACCTAGTCAAGCGGAAATTGCTGCCGCAGCGCAACAACAGCAACAGCAACAACAACAGCAACAACAGCAACAGCAACAGCAACAGCAGCAGCAACACTCGCACCAACAAGCGATCCAGGTGTGCCAGGTACCCGGACACAACTTTACGGTAAATCTCACAGAGCATTCAAGGCATGGTTAAGTAGAAAAACGTCATTCTTATTTTGAGATTATCGTTATTGTTGTTATTGGAATGTTTTACGAAACCAGTAACATTTTATTACTAGTTGCTCAATGTCAAAGAATTACACAAGTTGGACTGTTTTTTTCCGGTAATTACTTCGTATTATGCTGCTGTATGGGTTCCTATTTTGCGTTTCTCGTGGAGTTTGTATTTGCTGTTGTATATATTATCAGATTATAAGAATGATTTGCTGAGATCCGTATGTAAAATCATTAATATTTGGATTCAAGTAAATGACAGTTATGGCTTACGAATATTTCGAAATTAAAACTCCGTGGTGTGCCATCAGTTAAAAATTTCAAATTAAGATTTCACACTCACTATCAGTTTGTGGATGTACGTCAGTTCGACTGAGCTATTTCAACAGACAGTACGCCCGAAAAAATCGATGGGTTGTAGTCAGTTGAAAATTTCAACTTAAGACTCCACACTCACGGTCAGTTTTTGGATGTACGTTATTTCAACTGATCATTTTAACTGACCGTGTGTGGGGGCCATTAGTTATAAAACTCAACGCCATTAAAAAGATGTCGTTCTCTCTCTCTTTACTAAATAACAGTAGAAGTAGACAGGTATAAATGTAACCTGTTTATTTTGCATACGGAAATCAGCAAAATACCTATCGTTTCTCATAATAGTTCCTTAAATACCTGTTTCTCTTGACATTATTTGTATCTATACTCTATACATTTTTACGTTTTCTGTTGTTTTCGAGACATAATACCTTTATAAGAATTGCATATTATGTGATGAGCTTAAGAAATTGTTTATGTTGTTACTTTAATTAATTGCCTAATAATCTAGAACTCTAGGTGTATTTATTTTTATTATATAAGAAAGAATATGTGTATAGTATTGTAAATTTATAAATTATAAGATATCGGCTAAAAGGCTCGACCATTACCTTATAATTGCACGCAATGAATTACGAGTATGTATCCAAAATATTCAAGACATTCAGGACTCCTGTTGTGTTTACCTCTTGAAGACTAACATTAGATTTAAAGACACTATTTTGCTCAAAAAAAACTCAATAATGCCTCTCAGATATAAACTAGTGTTCACAAATGAACCCTTAGAGATCTGCGAAAGTTAGGTATTAATTTAAAACTGACTTCCACTCACTGATAGTAATCAAATGATAAAGCTTTCTATACACCTAAGTATTGGGTTGGAAGTCAATAAATTCAAACTGATCTTGGCAGGCTTTTTGATGTGATAAAGTTTTCCCACGTACATGGTGGAGAATGAACAAACCTAGAAGTATATGCGTGCATTTCTACGTGGTAGAGCCACACTATATATAGCTGCAGCACAAACGGGTCGGCTCGAGCAGGGTAGGGCCACACTTTCATAAAATACTAGCGTGAAATAGCAGAATAAAAACACAGCAGTGTTTCATATGGTGGTCATATGGTAGAGCTATGATGCAGCTATATTATGTTTGTAGCTCGAATGGGCTGACTCGACCCGGGAAGGACCATGTCACGTCGACCAATGGCTGTGTCAACTGTGTCAACAAATGGCACATCGTTGATGATAATTTACTCCTTTTAACGACTTTATTATCCTAATAAGAAGAGATCTGTACCTTAAAACAGAACGTTACTTCTTTTAAATATTCCGACAATAACAGAACACAAACCTGGTCCACACGAGCGCTGCCTCCGCGGCTGTAGCGGCGGCGACCGCGGGCATGGTGGTGTCCTGGTCGTGCGAACTTTGTGGGAGATTGTTCGCGACACGTGATGAATGGAGCGCGCACGCTAAATCGCATCTACCCGATACCAAATTACTACAGGATAAGATGCAGCAGGCTACGCAACATCAGGTATTAATTTCCTCCAGACGGTGCAGTATGCGCAAGCACAAATGCACTCTCTATTTACACACTCTCGTAGTCCGACATGATGGTAATCCGACACGACCGGAAAATAACCGGAGACTATAGACCAAAAATCCATAAGGGAAAACACTAGGAGAAAAGACTTTAATAATAAAATCATCCCTCGTATGGTCATGACTAGACACTGTTCTCAACATCGATCGGTATTACTATTTAATAGATCACCTATTGATTTAAAAAATATGTTAGAACAAGAAAAGTATACCAAGAATAGAAGATAGAAACAAAAAAGCAAAAAAAAAAAAAAGCAAAACCCTTCAAAAATATTCCCTAATTTTTTTTTCAACCCCCAAAACGGCGCAACCCGCCCCTAAAAAAAGTTCCCAATGGAAAAATGTTATTATGGTGTTGACGAGTTTCTACATGCTAATGACATTATGTAAAATTCAATGTTCCCAAATGTTTGATGACATATTAAGAAATTGTCGTAATTTTTTTGACAAAAATCGTTATAACTTTAAATTTTATTTATAATGACGAGATTTGACTTATGATTTTTATATAAATGTAAATTTGGTTGTATTTTTTCAATTGTATTTTTGCATGAATTAATTAACACAATTTGTATTGTTCAGAATAAATAAATAAAATCAGGCGCAAGACGCGGAGAGATACACTACTAACTTCATGACTCTACTGCAACTGAGCAACCTTGACAGCCAAACCCACTAAATATTTTTGGTCAGATCCTGGATCTCATGGTCAGCAACATGAAGGTTAGAGAACAGGAGAACGATCACCGTAGAAAATAGTGTCCCAGAAATATGGACACCATAAGTGAGGCGCTGCGATCGCTATGTTCGGTCAATAAAAGTCATTTTCAGTCTATTTTCCGATCAGATGCTAAACCACTTGCACATCCACGCACAATAAAATATTTCTTCATTTTTTAATGTTTCTTTTTGTCAAAAATTACAAAATTACGGAGCATGAAAATTTTTTCACCAATGCCGCGAAGAAAATTTGTACATTATTCAACTAACTACATCTACTTGTACTCATAAACAGCTAACTTCGCAGTCACTACTAACCGACGTCAGCGCTGCTATAAATTCTACAATTTTTAAGGACAGGCGGTCTATGCTTTAGTACGTAGTGATCGTTCTCCTGTTCTTTAACCTCCATGGTCAGCAATATCGTCCGGCGATGCGGAGCACTGTCAAAGGTGCCAAACATGAAGGCGAAAATGATAATCAAGTTATAAGCAAGCGATTATCGAATTATAATCCTTCTTCACATTTTTACTTGTAAACGTTGCTCCCCATAGCTGGCCTGGATATTTTCTACTCTAGATAGATCTTTCGTTATCACTTGAATGCTCGCCATTTTCAACCAACTAACTTCAAAAAAGGAGGAGATTCTCAATTCGACTGAATTTTTTTTCTAGTTGAACCGATTTTGATGATTCTTTTTTATTTGAAATCTGTTACTTTTTGGTTGAAGTTTTTGAGTTATCCTTATTAATGCGTATTTAATTGACTTCGACTACATTGATTATGTTCTCATTTTATTTATACTGTTTGTAGTCGGTTGTACAAAAGTTTTAATTTTATCACTTGTTGTGCATATTCTATTTATAATCTACTATAGGGTAAAGTAAGAAGCGTAACGAAGTCGCGGTGACTGCTGACAAGAGAAGTTAATAACTTGCAACTTATAAAAATAATAAGAAAATCAAGAACTTCAATCCAAATATATTTAATCTTTGCATGAATTCTTATGTTAGTTGGATTACATACGCTACTTGAGTTCTTTATCTTTTTAAAAATAATTAAATTGTGTTTTTTACTTGTTTAATTTACTATCAAGGATAAATTTGTTTGCAGCAACAACAAGAAAAAGTGCACCTTACAAATCAAGAGAAACTCCAGCTCCTTCATCATCACAATCAAAATCAGCAATTACTGAACGGGCACGGGCTAGCCACTGCCTCCGTATCTACCGCAACGGTAGTCAACGAGGGCAGTGGAGGAGCTGGTGGGACGTACTTCACCCATGGACACACACACTATGCTCCCGAGAGACAACACACACATGCGCACCATCTGTGCCTTATGTGTAGACAGGAGTTCGCTGGGAAAGCGGAGTTCATGTTCCACGTGCGGGGTCATTTCGAGGGCAAAGTGAGTGATATCGCGGCGGCTGATGTGCTAGCTCGTTCTCTTGTGGATAATTCTGGACTGTGCACCTGAGCCGCGCCTACGCCGATCAGTCCATTCCAATCTGACGGCTGCGGTAAAGGAGTGCTACAGGACGACACGATAATGTTAAAGTTTTGAGAGTTAAGTGATATTTATGACGAGCTCGCGAACTTATTGTCCAATCACTAAACAATGACGTCATAAAACAAGTGTCATATTCAACAACTTTCGATTTTTCGAAAATATTATAGTTGTTTATTTCTTTTAGTATTTTGCCGTTCTAATTATTCATTGTATACTAGCTAGCTGCATTGTATACTGCTAGCATACGATTGAGCAAAACTTTACCAATAGCTAGAGTATGGAAAGTATGTGTGAATTGATCATTTTAAAATGTTAAAAATAATCCGTCCGGTCTTTGATACTATCAAGTAGACAGAAGTAACAAAAATGTACATGTACACTACTTTGCACTTCCATAATCTTATATACAAATTTCCATAACTTATAAATAAGTTTATAAGATTTGTTTAATGTGACGTTAAAACTGTATGAGCCAAAAATGTAAATAGGTTAGTGTAAATCAGCAAAATTAAATGACATTGGACTTTTTAAGCGAGCATCTCAGACGTTAATATAATAACTATTAGCAATGCTAGAACGTTTAGTAATTTATCTTTTTGTAAGAATTAAATCAATGAAAGTGGAATAAGCACAGCGTAACTTTTTTACTGTTTTCTGTTCTTATATTTCTTATATTTATTTGACTAAAAGTCACTCTATTTTTCTTCGTTAAGTTTCCTTTTTCTTTAAATTTGAATAGAAATCAAAATTGTAATTTTTTTTAAATTAATACTTCAAGGTTCATTGTAAAAAAATTTTTGTACCTGTTTGTTGAGCGTTATTTATTAATTTTATTACAATATGTTTACATTTGATTAATGTTTTATGTGCACTGAATGTTCACGTCTTATCGTTTTATTATAGTTAAAATTTAACAGAACGCAACAGTATCTGGTTATGCAATTAAACTACTAGTTTAACTAATAAGGGTTATAAGTGTATAGTTATGCTTAAATCTGTAATCTAGTCTTAAATGAAAGCCAAAACGGATGAGTAAATCTAGTCATTTTTTAAATGGTAATATAAGTCATTAGAAACGTATTTTTGTACTTAGGTAACATAAATACAATTTAGTATGTAATATTAGAACAGACCATTATCACCACGTATAATGGCAACATTGTAGAGTGTAAATTTGGAGCAGACTACGAGTGGTATTTTAATTTAATTACATTGCGACAAAATGACCAAGCCTATATGTTAGGATTAGATAGTTTTTAATTTTTTTTAATTTAAAAATAATAACAGAGTTTGCTTCCGTGTAGCGGATATGGGAAAAAGTTGCACTTTAGGGATTTGAACGTTGAAAACGTACAAATAATTAGCAATACTTTAAAATAGTTGATTAAAAAAAGTATATACTTATCATATTATAAATAGGTAAATATCATTCATAGTTTGTGCAACTGCTGATAAAAGCATCTTTAAATAAAATATGAAATATTTTATTCCTTCACTATGTAGAATTCAATATTTAGTTCTTCCTGAGGTACGAGTCTTTTTGATAAATTCTTTTGGAGTTAAATCTTCTGAAATACTTAATAATTAACGCAACTTTTTAGTAAGGATACTTTTAAATCTGCCATGTTGTTGTTTTCTAATTTATTAAGTATTTATAGTAGTCTCTTGAGTTTTGGCGAAATCTTGACCGCCGGCGGATTGTTGCTTCGCCTAGGCCATGATAAGCCTACGACGCCGAAGCCCAATTTACGTAAAGTAATTTCAACTTGAATGTTTAGCTATAAATCGGCCATCTTTTCTTGGTTTATTTCTTTATTTAATAAAATTCGGTTTAAATTAATTACACGTTAATAATTGACACATAATATTATTACATAAATCAATATTGTGTATATTTATATTACAAAATTAATTAATTTAACCAATCCGGACTCTACTCACTCATCTACCTATGTTGTTTCTTGTTAGTAAACTGCGATTTCAACAATATTTTCATTATTTAAAAAATGTTTCTTATTGCTTTAGTCATTTAATGACGCAAATGTAGACAACAGTTAAGCCTTAATTTGCAATTATTATTTAAGGTTTTAGAGTATTGTAAATAAATAAATTAAATAGAATTTTAATACATCTAACAAGTTATCAACAATTTGGTTTGCTAGATAAATTTGAAATGAAATGAAATTGGGAGAGGTCAAGTCAGCATGGTGATTCGATTTTATGGAGTTAATAATGTCTTGTAAATAAAAATTCACATTGTTTACATCAGAAATGTGTCCGATTATTTTTTTTATATAAAATTATGAGCTGAATCTTTAGTTTAAGCTACATTTCTATTATAAACAACATACGTTTTGACTGTAGCTATGTGTATATTTATAAAAAATATTTATGTAACTGAACAGAAATAAATATTCGATAATATGGATTTGTATAAAGAAAACCAATACTTGACAAATTTTATTTCAAAATACTTAGATATTAATATCTTGACTTGAGAGCATACAATAATTTTTAACACAACATATTTTCTAACAATAATCTACAAAAGAAGTATACACTAAGTACAAAATAATAGTTGTATTACTTACTAAATTTTATAATATCGAGTCGACATTCTGATGTTTAGTAGTTAGGTCGCGTACATCGTCCTTATCTGGTGAAAATATTGCAAAGATTTCAAATATGCTATACGATGACATATACTAAAAATACGATATTGTTTTTATTAAAATGTTTATTATTATAAAACTGACTATCACGGTGAACGTTGTTCTACCCTTTATGGGTGGGCCGATAAGTTCGCAATCCCCCTGGTGTTGCAGTTGCTCATGGGCGACGGTAATCACTTACCACCAGGTGAGGCGTATGCTCGTTCGCCCCCGCTCCTATGATAAAAAAAATACTCAGAATTCACTTCAGACTTTTTACAGTGTAAAAATAAAATTTATTAATAACTGTACTGTGCCACTTTTTTGGTGCTAAACTTATGTTAAAAACTTATGTTGGTTTAGCACCAGGTTTAGAGTCATTTTAGTCTATAACTGATAGAATTTGGGAATGACTTAGAGTCACCTAACGAATCCCAGCATAGCTAATATGAACCAACCACCATTCATCAAACAGCTTGTTCAGAAGTTACACGACTGATTGTATATGTAAGACGGACCTACGCACCAAGCATTTAATTATCATATAAAAATATTTACTTCATCGGCCGTTTACCACAGATTAACAACAACACCTTTGTAGTTACGATTTCACCATCAATGTCACTTTCATATAATTTTATTCCATCCAGATTTCTTATTTAATCAAGTTGTTGAATGAAAGGGTATAAAAGCAGACAGCGGAATTTTGGAAAACCGCTGCAGTACTTATAATCAAACGAGCGCTACGATATACGATGAGACGATGTAGGTAGAGATACCGTCTATAAAACGCGGCGGGAATGTAATTTGCGCGACATTAATTCCTTAGTAATTATCCTGATCATAGAATACTATAATACACAATAGAATGGCTGTCAACCTTATTTTGTACGTGGATAGGCGTCGCCGGGAGCACACATACAAGCAATTTTGTCGTATTATCAGTTAATCCCTACTACAAACCCGATTCGCTGTGTTGACAGACGGATATTAATACATATTTATTTGTAAATAGCGTGCAATTAGACATTTTCTAAATAATTTGAATGCGAAATTTGGAAACGATTATAACGTCAAAACACATCTCGTGTTGACATTTATACGTGTGAATTGACGTCTAGTGGCATTTTAGTGGCTAAACGGGCTCCGCCCACTCCCCCGTTCTATTATGTATGTATTATAGTATTCTACGATCGTGATAGTTTAAGAGACAACTTTCATATTATTGTGACAATTAACGAGCGGATTAATGCACGTTCGCCGATCGTAGGTAGTGTTCGCAAAGTTACTTATATTTTGTCTGTCAAGCCTGTTCGGCGATAGTTGATAAAAAAGACAGGTTTCCTAAACTCATCACATATTGTGACCCGCTATATATATTTTACTGATAGAATAACATATCGGTCGCCTTCGCTCTTGACAACAGCCGCGAGCCTCGCACCACGAAACTCTGTGCTTGCGGCGATAACGACGCCCGTCACACGGATTGCGATACTTAAGCGACAGTCGCTACAGCAGGACGTTTTCATAATAAATCAGCAAACAGGTTTCATTTAAGATATAAAGCAATTTAATAACCGAAACTAATTCATCTGTTAAAATGTTTATACATTTGCTTTAGAGCAACATTTGAGCTAGATAAGGATTTTGTACGTTAAAAATTTGCGCTGTAGCAAATCAGAGCACGATTGAAGTTACAAATTCGAGTAGGTCTAGGAAAGTATAAGTATAGGTGGGACACGTCTGCAATATGATTAGTTGTATCTTTTAAATACATGTATAAAGCATAAAATTTTAATGTACATAATTAAGATGATAAAATAGATGTGTTGGTGTTTTTTTACGAATTGTAAATAAATAATTTGCTATTAAATAAAAGGTATTGAATCTATGCAACATAAATTGTAATTTTCATATAAAATAAACAGAAAGAATAACAAGAATAATTATATAATAGAATAAGTTGTTACTTTGTGCAAAACCCATTATAATACAGATGTAAAAGTTAACCTAAGCTAAGAGTTACCATTCGCATGAAAATTAAAATGGTACACATGTTTACATTAGGAAAAACACACTACTGTCAATAATGCGACACTTGTTTCGCCTCTACACGTGGCACCACCACGACTGACACCTTGTTATTGACCACTAATCAAATTTTACCATTATTAGGTAGATTTTAATCGAACTCTATTTGGATTAAATGCATCCTTATCATTAAAGGCAGCAAATAATGACACAAACGTAAAATAATGGATATTTATAAGGAATTGTGTATATATTCATTACATTTTAAGATTTCCCCCTGATTTT